GTGGGCTACTCATTGGTTTTTATGTCGATCCCAGAAACCCTGTTCTCCTTGATCAGAACGACCCTCGTTTCATCGGAAACTGGTGAGTGGTTTCTACATTTTGCATTTCACTTACTGGAGATGGTCAATACTACTTTGTAGTTACAATTTCCCCAGTGGAGAGGGAAAAAATGTAGCTAGGCATTATTAACTGTAATAGATGGTAGGCCAGGTAATTTCCTTATCCCCAGAGCTTATCACATATACAGCGTGATAAGAAATGCTTGCAGGGCAGAAGAGGGCACCAGATCTCATTATAGATGGTTGTGAGCCACCATGTGGTTGCTGGGAATTGAACTCAGGACCTCTGGAAGAGCATCCAGTGCTCTTAACCCCTGAACCATCTCTCCAACCCCTGTGCCCAGGACTTATGAATATGGGACCTTCTTTGGTGAGGGAAGTTTACAGAGAGTATCAGATGAATGGTGTTGAGAAGGGGAGAGTACCTTAGGTGAAGAGAGGAAGGAGGTAGCCAGATTCAGACATCTGCTGACTAAAGCAGAGGTCATGGCAGTGCACTTTGAAGATGGAGGAAGCTTTGGAAACAAAAGTATGCAGGCTGCAGGCAAAGCCTCTAGAGGTTAGAAAGGAAAGATGGCTCCCATCTAGCTAGGACTTTCAGATGGAATGTGCAGATGCCTGAAGTCCAGAGCTAGGAGCTGAGCCCATGTGCAGTTGGAGCTGATGCACTTGTGTTGTACAAATCACTCCGTATGCGATAACTTCTTATAGCAGCAACAGGAAACTAACAGGCATTTTTGGGTCACTGTGTCTTAAGCAGGAAGAGGGCTTCTGTGACCCTGAGGGGACTTTCCTGAAAGGTTTCCTTAACCCTGTCTTCCATTATCCTTTATGCTTTAGAGAAAAAAAAAACTACTTTCTATTTTCCTTGGGTTTTGCTGCTGTGATAAAACATTGACCAAGACTAACTTGTAGGAACAAAGGGTTATGTCGGTTTACAGGGTACAGTCCGTCATCAAGAGGAGTTAGGACAGAACCTAAGGGAGCTTGAAGCAGAAACCACATGAGGAGTGCTGCTTGCTGACATGCTCTGCATGGCTTGCTCAGCTTGCATCCTTACATCCCTCAGGGCCACCTGCCCAGGGTGGAAGCACCCACATGGGGCTGGGTCATCTCACTTCCATCATTAATGGAGGAAGTGCCCACAGACTTGCCCACACCAGTCTGATGGAGACATTAAGATTCCTTCCTTCCTGGTGATCCTAGTTGGTGTGAAGATGACAAAAACTTACAGGTGCATGTCCTCCCTGGCTCTACTTCAGCCCTACTTTTCCATTGCTCCTTTCTGAGCAGATCTTTGCTCTCTGGAAAATAGTTTGTTTCCCCACACGTCCTGCACATTTAGCTGTTCTCTCGCTTCCTAGACTTTAAAGTCCTGCTACACCAGTCATGCTGAGAACTCTGGGGAATTTCAACATTATGTGGTATACTATTTGTCTGCTTGCCTGGCTTGTTCTTGAGTTCTTCACAGTCCTCAGTTTGCATAGAATAAGTTATTTCTTCATCACACCAAAGCCAATAACTGAAAATATTCATGTTCCAAGTTCATGTTGCTGGACATATACTGTCCTGAGTTTATGTTGCTGGATATATAGATATCTATATCTATATATCAGGCATATACTGACAGATTTTTATTTTGTGGCAAAACAATATTTTAGTATTAGAAATTACATGTGCCACACAATTACTTTCTGAAGAGGGCTTAGAATGCTTTATCCTATTTTATTATAGGATAGGAGCCCTGTAACTGTGGTTGGTGGGAAATACACTTAATACAAATTTCTAAGTAGTTAACAGACATTAATGAGGCTGTTTGACAGTTCTAATTTTTACAGTAACCAGCATTGAAGCTAGACAGGCAAACTTGACCTATAGAGTGTCTGAGTCATACAAAGAGGGGTGCTGTTGTCAGTGGTAGGGGAATAACAGGGGTTTTGAGTTATTGACTGATAGTGAAAATTTTAATCTCAGCTGTTTTCATTGCAGTTCTGGGATGAGTCAGAATAGAAATTGTTTTTCAACATTAGAAAACAGATTCCTAAAACATACTTATGAATGTGCAGTGTATTCCCTGTGTTCTACTTAGAAATGCTGAGATGAGCATGGCAGGAAAGGAACACAGGGAGGGAAAGACAGAAGCATCAATAACAAGGGGTAGGAAGGATGGCAGGAGAGTCCATCTGGCCCGTGCCTTATGCTGTCATTGCTCAGTTTTCTAGTGGGCAGGCAGTTACTCAGCTGCTGGCAGAATGGTTCCATGTGGAGCACACACCCTAAAGTTGCATTCCTCTAGTGTGCTCCTCATAGCTACATGGACTTGGGAAACTACTTCTCTGTTCCTTGGTTGTAAGGTTGTTGTAAGGATGACTTGACTATGAAGAGCTCTGAGTTTGTCCTGTTTTGCCTTTCCAGTATATCCTATCCTTTAATCATTTTTTTTGAAGTTCAATAGGGGGCTCCCTGAAGGGTTATACACATACCCAGCAAGTGTTCTATCTCTACAACACAATCCCAGCCTTCTCTTTTAGCGTTTTCTTTTTTCTTTTAATTATTTCTTTTAGCTCACCAAGTTGCTCAGGCTGGCCTTGAACTCACTTGTAGCCAAGGCTAGCCCTGAACTTGCAATCCTCCTGCTTCAGTCTCCTGAGTAGCTGGGAATATGGACCTGTCCCACCTGGCCAAGGCATCCTCAGTACTTTGAATTTTATCAATAATTAAATAATTTTATCTATCCACTTGGATTAATTTTAATTATAGAAATGGTTGTTGTTTTAAAACTGTCTGAGTCTGTTTAAAAATGAATTTGAATTGTTTTCTATTCAGCAGTGTTATTTGTAATAGGTTTCTCATTGAATGGAATGCCTAGCACTAAAGACAAGTTTTCATTAGAGGCTGAAGGAGTGATGGGTGAAGTTATGCTGACATTTATTAGACACTGTGTGTCAAGCATTATACTAAGAGCTTTACAGACACACTCATTTAAGCCTTTAATGATCAAATGTAGCCTTTAACATCATGCCCATTTTATAGATTGGAAAATTAATATTTGAAGAATTGGATTACTTGCATAAAGCCTCTGTGTGGTGTGCTGTATTAAGGAACTGATGGGGGTGGAGCTATTTGTCAGTCTACTGCCTACCTATGACTGGCCTGAATAATGGTTCATGAAAGGGATTTAGATACTTGAGCCTTTTAGTGTTGAGTATTATTGAGATGTCTTTTTCCAATGTATACTGCACATTGTCCTGTCATGGCTTCTCCCAGAGTCCTCTTCAGCAGTGGCTCAGGAGTTGTTATTATCTCATGTTTCATATGCTTATTTCTTGAAGCTACTGAGGAATATGAGCTGGTTTGCTTTGCTTTGAATTGACCCCATGCTGTTCAGTTTTTATTTGTTTACTCTAACTCTTCCCTTCTTCTGGGCTGTTGGGGTGCATCTCGAGGATTGGAAAGATAGCTCAGTGGGTAAGGTGCTTGCTGTGAGAGCCTGGTTACCTGAGTTCACTCCCCAGAACCCATGTAAAGGTTAACAAGAGAATCAATTCCACAGAGATATCCTCTGATCTCCATACATGTAACGTGCCAAGTGCACTACCCCCATGTCAAAACACACTTGTATTAAATAAACATCTTAAAAATCTAAAAAAAGAGTGTATTTTTAATGATTGCATGAAATTCGACATCATTACAGGCATGGTGAAGGCTGAAAGTCTAGTCTGAGTGCAGATCTATGTTAAACACAAAACCAAAGTAGCTACTGCATATTAGCTGCTGGTTTGGAGTGGGATTTCATTAGGTCTGCTATAGGCATTATCTTGTTCAAATTTGAGGACTCTCAGAAGTGTTTTTACCCCCCTTTCCAGATGAGAAATTCAGCTAGGAGAAGTAAAATAATTCCCCAAGATCTCAGAGTTAGTAAGTGGTGAAGATAGGATCCAAATCTCGATGTGTTTAAACTGCAGCTCATGAATATCCTGACTCCCCTGCCTGCCCTCTCAAGGAGGGAGGATGTGAAGCTTAGATGGTGAAGCAGCTTGGGGACTCTAATTCCAGAGGGTAATGGGGGCGTGTGACTGATGAGGGCTCATAAGCAGCCAGGGTCTGAAGAACCAGGTTGACCTAGCTATGTTCCCCAACACTGATACCTGCGACCCATTTTAAACCTATTTCTTTCAACTTATGTATTGGGCAAAACTTTTGAATACCTAACCTCTCCCATGCACTAGATTGGTGATAATACAGCTCCTAGAAAGCTTTCTGGAACACAAACTACAAAATAAGATTCATCGCTTAGCTTTCTACCTTCTTGCACTTCTTGGAGGCTGTTTATCTTTGGCTTACAGTAGTTTTAAGTTCTTCATGACAAAGATCAACTCTGAACGTCTTGATGTCTATCACATTTGTTAAATACTGTGGGACTGGATAAATAGGGGTGAGCAATACATTCTTAGGTACTTGGGAAAATATTTAAGCCTCATTAGCAATTAGAATTACACTGGACATAAAGTTAGGGTGTAGCTTCAATCTCCATCACAAAATGATGAACAAACAAAGCACACTTGACAAGGGCTATTTGCTTTCTTTTAAGTATATTGCTCCTTGAAGCCTGTGAGGTAGTCTGTTGGTTTTCTAGGAAATTTATTGTAGCCAGGTATGGTGGCTCACGCCTGTCATTGTAGCGTTGGGAGGTAGAGGAAGGAAGGTGAGATGATCAAGGTCACCCTAAAATAGCAATCAATTGAGGCAAGTTGGGGTTACATGAGACTCAGGCTCAAACAAAGCAAAAAAAAAAAAAAAAGCAAACACTGTTATAAAATGTACACTGTAGCAGAACTAACCATGTTAGCAGATCTAGTTCATACTTAGATTTCTTGAATGACATTCTAATCAAGTTGCTGAATAGTCACTATAATCCTTGAGTAATTAAGAATTTTTCCATTCAAATTATCTTTATTTTCTCAGTTTGTCTAATTTTAAAATGATTTCTTTGCAGGTTTATCATGACAAACCTATTTTAATGATCTGTTCTTACTTCCAACCTGAAGCCATAAATACTACTCACATTTCCCAATTTTTTAGGTGGAGTGGATTCCTCCTTTGTGCCATTGCCATGTTTCTTGTGATATTCCCAATGTTTACTTTTCCAAAAAAGCTTCCGCCTCGACACAAGAAAAAGAAAAAGAAAAAATTTTCTGCTGATGTCGTTAGTGATGATGATGTCATCAAGGAGAAATCAAACACGAGTGAACAAGTGAACAAAAAAGTTTCTTCAATGGGCTTTGGAAAGAATGTCAGAGGTAAAGTATTTCTCTTAAATAAATACACACATGGTACTTTAGGCCCCAGCTCTACCAAGTGTGGGTCCAAAGATGTATGGCTCAATGGCAGAGAGCAGTACCGGAGGCCTTGAGTTTGATGCTCAACAGGGCCCTGAAATTGGAACTGTGTGACCCCACACCAGTGTCCCTCACAAATGTTTGCTTCTAGTTGGGTAGATTTGAGAGAAATGCTGCAAATGTCACTTTAGAAATTTGAGAGAGTGGCCTCTTTGAGAGGAGGTGGGAGACAGTGATACAGAGTGGCAGGCATGCATAGACAAGGCTACAATAAAACTTGTTACTTTGTAAGCTAATTTAAAAAAAAAGACATTTAAGGGAATAATTTTTTCTGTTAAATTTTACAGTAGTTACAAAAAAGGCTTCCATTTTTCATGTCTTTAAAAGGATGGATAGCCTGAAGACCAGAGTTCCATTTCTAGATCCTATGGTAGAAGAAGAGAAATGCTTCCAAGGAATGTTCTCTGACCTTAACACACATGTGGAGGCACAAGCCTGACATTCATGAAGACACATCATACACACTAATAGTGGAAAAAACAAAAATGAAACTCTAAAACAAATTTCTAATAATTTGTTTGAGTGTGTTTTGCAAAATTACTAGTAGATAACAGATTAAATAATAGAAGGAATGGCCCAATGGCCCACCCTGCAGGAAGATTGAGAATCATTTCTTCAGGTCATGAAGATAGCCATATCTAGATGTGGCATTTGCTGTGATTACTGTGGTCTGATTACTAACACTGTGGCTGCATTGTGTAAAGGGTGGCTTGTTTTAGGGGAGCAGTATGGTATTATGGGGATAGCCTGTGAAACTCCACTAAAAGGAAATATTCCTTGGTAGCTGTACCAACCGTTCTTGTGGGGCTGTCCAGGAAGAAGGATGTCTGTGGGATGGACTGTCGTGTTTCTCCATTTTTATTTCTCTTAAAAATGATGATTTTAGCACACCTTTAATACCAGCACTTAGGAGGCAGGGTCAGGTCTGGGGCCAGATTTTTGTGAGGCAGAGGCAGAGGCAGAGGCAGGCAGATCTCTGTGAATTTGAAGCTAGCATGGTGAATATAGGGAGGTCCAGACCAGTCAGAGCTATATGGTAAGACCCCTGTCTCAAAAATGAAATGCTGATAGTAGAAATAATAATAATAATATAATTATTATTGATTAACAATATTATTATAGAGTTCATAAAGATAGATTAAACAATCTAAAATCTAAACATCTTAATTTGTTCCTAAGAAGGCAATCTTTGATCTACTCAATGGCAATAGGTCCTGTTGTTTAAGGAAACCTACATTGACTCCAACTCATTATTTCCAGTCTCATTTCCTGAATTTTCTGAGTTAATTCTTATATAAATTATAAAGCACAGTGTTTATCAGATGCTCATGATAAAGTAGCTGTGGTATTTTGAGTATGCATACACTGAGACAAAGGGATAAGATGAAGTTACTAATATCCCATAGAGTTGGCACTACAGACTTAGAAGGATGGTAGACTGAAACATTGCTAAAGACTACTTGTTGAAAGATAGCACCAATATTTGGAAAATACTATTTCTCCTCATTTAAGTTGTAGATATGGTCTTCTTCCTCCTCATAGTCATGTGACAGTGTGTTCTTTTGTAAATGCTAGAATAACTCCCGATACTCCAGTAACATAGAGGACTTCTCTGCATGCTCATGTGGTCTGAGCTCTTCCCATGTGGACCAGCAGCACATCATTTCCACAGCTGTATTGTGGACCATGATGATGGTGATGGTGATGGTGATGTTGATGATTGTGATGATGATGATGGTGGTGCTGGTGATGATGATGGTGTGATTATGATGACCGTGATAATGAGTGTGGTGTGTTTGTGTACACACTGGTGAGTGGAAGCCTGCAAGTACTTGTGCATGCATGTGTGCACACCTATATGGGTACAGATAACTTTGGAGTCCAGCAGAAGTCACCGGTCTCCTGGAATTCAAGTTACAAGTGGTGTGCGATGCCTGATGTGGGTTCTGGGAACTGAACTTTGGGCTTCTATGAGGTCAGTACACACTCTTAAGCGCTGAAGCATCTCTCCAGCCCCCACAATTGTTTTTATAGGTGAATTGAGACAAAGCTGCTGTTAAATAATTTAAGACATAAAAATATATTTAGAATTTTAATTTGGAGGACTATAAAGCAGACTCAGGGGAAGAGAGAAAGGTGTGGTTAGAGTTCTTTATATTTTGTATACTTCAACATGAAATATATTAGTTGAACAGTAAAAGGGGTATTGATATCAAATTCATATTATTACTTTTGTTCTTTCTAAAGATCTGTTCTTTATATTTTATGTGTTTGCCTACTTGCATGTCTGTACATCACTTGCATGCCTGGTGCCTGAAGAGGCCAGAAGATGACGCCAGATCCCCTGCAACTGAAATAACAGGCTATTGTGAGCTGCTCTGTGGGTACTGGGAAGCAAACCCAGGTCCTCTACAAGAGCAGAAAGTGCTCTTAATGGCTAAGCCATTTCTCCAGTCTCCAAGGCTCTTTATAGATTCTTAAGTTACCCTTTCTTTTCATGGATCTCTGCCATGTTCTCCTCCCAGTGCTTATTAAAATGTCCAGTGGTTCTGAAGGGTCCTACCATGTTATCAAAATGAGAAGAATACATTCTGGAATTTAAGATTTATTTATGGAAGCTTATATGCTACTTTTTTCCCAACTTTTTAAATTTGAATTAGAAACAGGATTGTTTTACATGACAATCCCAGTTCCCTTCTCCCACCCATCCTCCCCTACCACCTCCTCTCAACTAAAACCCTATCTATCACATATCCTTTCTGCTCCCCCTGGATGATGAGGCCTTCCATGGGGTGTCATCAGTGTCTATTGTATCCTTTGGGATAGGGCCTAGGCCCACCCCTCTGTATGTTGGATCAGGGAGTATTCCTCTATGTGGAATGGGCTCCCAAACTCCACACCTATGCTAGGGATAAGTACTGAACTTCTACAGGAGGTCCCGTAGATTTCTTGTCCTTCAAGTAATTGTGAGTTTCTAACTTTT